ATTGGTCTCTCTGTCAACAGGGAGCCCCATGTTCACATGTCCATTAAATTACATCCTCATAATTAATAAAGAGATGTACAACTCTTCAAAAATTAAGAATTGCCTAGTCAGTTTGTTAAGACACAGATCTTTCTTAAAAATCACTCAGTTGTTTGAGAATAATGAAATACTGGTATTTACAGTGTTTTCAAGCTGTCATATATTTAAGCCTGAAAATCATCTACGAACAGAAATCATATTCTGGATAGATGGTGCCAGTCAAACTACTTTAAAAAGAGCGAGTAAGCTACAGAAAATTAAGACCTGGTAGCTATAGTCTATGAAGACAGGATATGTTTCATTAAGATTTTAACTATATTTTTTATCTTGGTATGAATTTCCAAAATTATCTCGACACGAATCCTCACTAAGTGTGAATACGTGGCAAATGTAGTTGAAAATAAATTATATCTTGTATGATAAACCTCTATCAGTTTCAAGGGGTTTTATTTATAGATAAAGTACATTTTTAAAATTGTAAAAAAAATTGTAAGATGTATATTGGGAACGCATCCAAAAGTTTATAAAAAGTAGCTTTAATGCTAAAATTGAAGACAATTTGACAAAAGCATAAAATATAGCATTGACAGTAATTTTTATTTTCTTAATAGATGTAAATAAGACTTAACCAAACTGTATTTTGGGAAGGTTGTGAAAGAAATATTTAAATCCCTATCTGGATTTACATCCAGATACAGCGTATACCATGCCATAGAGCTGTTTTGAGACAGTTAAGCCTTTTAATATACCTCCTGTAGTACTGAGGCAGTAACATATTGCTTTACCACTTAAATCCTTTCGGAAGTCATGATGTACATGTAACTTGCTCTCTAAATATTTTACTAATTTAAAGCTGGGTTTCCTGGACTGGGTTGTTATGGCTGGGGATGTGCTGAGTAAATCCCTATCTGGCATATTCTGGACGTGGCATAAAAAGTCCTTCTTGGTGCTCAGATTAGCACTGATAACTGCAGGAATCACAAGCAATAGGTTGCACAAGACCACATCACAGTCTGCTACACATGAACGCTAAACACGTCTTTTAAAGATCTTTAAGGAATCACTGAGGCTATGATTTCGATGCACACCTAAATAAAAATTAGCAAGTTATTTTTAATTACTTTCTCACATGCACACACATATATTCATACACAATATGCATTTTAAAGTACAACACTGAGTTTAAGAAATACCAAAACGGTGCACATTAAAATGTCCTAAAAAATATTCACCAGCTGTATTTTGCATTCAATCATTTACTTTTTTCCTGCAATCCCAAAAATACCCAATCGCATGTTATTTTCAGTTCCAAGACTAGACTGCATACCTTCTCTCCTTGCAGCCCCAAGCAAAAGCATGTTAAAGCCAGGTTGTAAAGTCTCAAAAAGAAAGAAAATTTGGCCCCATGGTAAACAGTCCCAGTACAGGACAGGCATGAAGTCTGTCCCAGCAAGGGGAGTGTTTTGCACAGGGTTGAGTACTTGTGCCCCCCTGCTACAAATGGCTGATGTTAAGGAGTTACCGAGAATGAACTGTGTATGGTCTGTATGAAGACAACGGTGTATTAGTGGAGTGACTGTCTTCTAAGGAAAAAAAGCCTGAAAGCAAGATACTAAATTAAAGCAAAATTAACCTGAGGATTATAAGCAGACGACTTTAAAAAGTTCTGTTGGTCCAAAAAATTAACTAACGAAGAAGCTCCGATGTAAGATAAATATTCCACCTCAAACGTGGATTATTTCTAAAAACAAAAATATGTTTTGCTTTTTTTTTTTTTTTTTTTGCAACAATCTCTATCACTGGAAACATCTGCAGCATTTGCCATCATTGTCAGAGTTCAGCCTGTATCACCTTTGGTTTTCCTGCTGCCTGGTCATGCAGAAGGCTCACCCCTCTCTTGCTACGGCAGAACTGGGTAAGCTGCAGGTTGTTTGCACCACGAGCATTTCAATTTGACAATTGGTTAAAAGTAATGCTTCTTTTTTAGTGTATGGGAATAAAATGGATAATCTTTCCAAAAAGGACATAATCTCTCATCACTAAGACCCATTAACAGATTTAGCTGAATTTTATCACACTAGCAGGAACTGCTGACTGTATGTTTTAAGGAGCAGGACTCTTCTTCCTCTGTCTGTCCACATTTGCCGGCAAAAGGGAACATTTCCATCTTCTGTCCAAAAGCATTTGTACAAATAACTCCTCTCTTACCATCTAGAAAATACTTTTTACTACCAAACTCACTACATTTAATGACACAATTAAAATATGAATGAAGTCAACGAAAATTTCACAAGGACTCCTGACCTAGAATATTTTGAAAGAGCCCAGAAGATTGGTGCATGTTTTTTTAAAAAAATATAAGGCAGTTCTGTTAAAATTCACATTTACCATGTCAGTAAAAAAACCTTAATGCTTTGGTTAGATTTCTTTAATAAAAGACCATCTTTGCGGATATATTTCAGTTTAGAAATCACGTGGACAAATAGTGTTAATAACATATAAGTTTGAGAACCTGGCCACGGAGAACTACATGACAACATTTTAGAGTCACTTTTCTGATTTTAGGGTATTTTTGCAGGGTTGAAACACATTACACCTTCATTCTAAAGGAATTTGCATTGCTTCAAAGCGAGGGGAGGGAGCAGGTAATTTTCTCCCCTTCCAAGTTTGCCTCAGCCAGAAATCACTGCAGCATTGCTGGTCATAAAACAGAGGGCTCAGGGTTTCGTTTCTGAGTAGGATGTATTTTCAAAGTTGTATATTAGGAATCCATTAAAAAGTTAAAACATTTGATTATTGTAGATTTAATTGCGGGGGGAGGCACTCAGTCCACCTCCAACAAATCACTTGATCCATTATCTGTAGAAGGAAAGGAGAGCTATGCTGCCGCAGGGAGAGAAAACAGCGGTGCCCTGCCCGAGCAGGTGAGCCAGCACGGCTGCTGGGGTGGAGTAGCACAGGGGCAAAGGGGAATCTGCATCTCTGCAAATTAGTTTTAAAATTTTATTGAGGCTTCCAACAAGGCGATGCAAGTTTTGAGGGAATATACGGGTTTCATTCAGGTTCAACAAAAGTACATGGGATTGTTCAGCACTTGCTTTTACCCTAAGGCAGGAGAGCAGGAGAAACAATGAAGATCCCTTCCCTTCCTTGGCCAGAAAGTTTTGTTTTAAACTCTTACCAATTTCTTCAAATTGCACCTAAAACACACAAATATCTCAGTAAGTAGATGATCTGTAGAATGCTGTGCCTGATTCAAAAGTCTATGTTACACCAAACCTCTAAGCTTGAGTTTAGAGAAAACACAGAATTAAGAGAATATTAAGCTGTCACAGGCAGTGGTTAAAAAAAATTGCCAAATTATATATTTAGCATGTTCCCTGTGAGTCTTGGGCTAGAAGTACTCACAGTTAAAAACTGACAACTGTCACTGGTCAGAGAAAGCCGTCTGAACCCGTGAAGTTTAGAGCGCACAGTTTCCATTCCCGCACCTTGCCTTCAACCATCATGGCAACACAGACAGTGAGGATTTTGTTACCACAGTATCCTCAAGCCGAATAAAATGCTCACTCATGCTTCATTATCTAGGGACTGTATTAAAAAAAAAAAAAAAAAAAGGAAAAAGTTACAGCTATTTAGATATGTCAGTACATTAAACCTTATGGAGAGAAGCAACACACAGGAGTATGTTTCATCTTTTCATTTAAGAAACACTTTGACAGCCACAAGCCAGTGCTGCACACATATAAATCATGTCTAGATAAACTCCAAAGTATAAAGAATATTTTGAATTATTTTGTCATTGACGGCTAAGTTATGTTTTCTGTTCCCTTCTGAAGAAGGGCTACTTCTAAGTTGAGTTTTATTTGGGAATCTACAATCCTTGAAAATCTTAATGTTGAAGAACAAATGGTGAATCTGCCTGGAGCTACAGCCAAAGCTCATCAGCTGCATGGATTTCAGCGCTGCAATATTAGCTGTCTTTCAGTCTTGACGACACTTTAAACTGTCTTAACTACACATAATATTCTACCATATGAAAGCCTACAGAAAAGGTCTGCTGCTAGAACAAGAGAATTCTATGCAGCTGAAGATGCTAACATTGACAAAAGGAAATGTTTTCAGAATATCTGTAATAACTCAAAAAATCCACACCCCAAACACAGCAAAGGATGATTGAAAATTGTTATGAATAATAAAACAGTGAAAAAGATCATTTTGCGTACATACAAATTACCGTTGATGTAGGAAGACAGCAGAATAGCTTAGGCACCGAGATTCACTTGATCACTGCACAACTTCAGTTGTACCTACACAGATGACAAATGTAATGAAATGTTTAAATTATTTCCCCCCCTTCGGGTTGGTCCTGCTGTCTCTGTTCCAGCCTTCTAATTTAGCTCTACTTTTGTATTCCCATTGGGCTCTGCAGTGCTGGTCTCATTCCTAGGATGAAGCGGCCTCAAACAGGAATTCTGGGTATATCCTGCAACAAGCATCCAAACCAGGTCTTTTTCAAAGGTTTCACTGAGCTTCGTTTAATTTTTTTTAAAGAAACATTTAGTCTGTAAAAGAAATCCCCCAAAGGATTTAGGATTATTTCAATTTTTATCTATAGTCCAGACAGTTTTAAAGTGTTACCGGTGGTTTGGACATTTTGACTGCCTACTGTAACATTGACGGCCAGTCAGTACCTGGACAATGCTTCAGATTAAGTTGTTGCCTTTTGCTCTACTGTTCTGGCAGAGACCAATATATAAAAGAGTGAGTCCAAGAGAGCTCCTTGGAGTGAAATTAAGCCCAGAAAAGGAATTGTGTGCCTGCATAGATAGATGTTTGCATGGTAGCATGATTTCTAGAATGGAATAGATTGCTTCTGCAAAAGTCTTTGGGGAAGAAAAAAAAAATATTATAAAAAAATACCTCTACAGAATGATCGAGAGCTACACACAGAGAAATGCTTTCAAAACACAAGCATTTAATTTTTTTTAAATGTTAAGTGAGATGTAAATATGTACGTTAGCAACAAAGTGCTCAAAAGCATACTGAAAACATATTCCATACACAGTTAGCAATAGAAGTCTGTACAAAAGTAATAAAGTTACACATTATAAAAAATACTCCATAACTATAATTTAAAAGAGGGAAAAAAGACAAGGGAATTGATTTCTCAGTTCATATAATTTATTGCAGTTAGCACACAGTTTAAAAATTCACCAACACACCAATAGTACAAAACTAAACAGCATTATAAGTTATTCCCTCCTCAGGAAAATAAAACATACTATGATTGTCAAAGCTAGATGTCAGTCTAAGTTTTAGAACAAAAGAAGAATGTGAAACTAAGGAAAGGAAAAAAGCAATCACTCACGAGGACCACAAAAAAATCCAAGAGAAAGTCCGTTTTCCTCAGACACTGATTGTCTTCTCTAACGTAAGAAAAGAATGTAGTTTTAAAACCTAGAAACTATTCAAGTAACTAAAGATAACGCTCCAAGGCCATTTTCACAGCTTTTTTTTTGTTTTAAATGCCATTACAGCCAAATTAACACACATTTGACCAAATATTTCCAAAACAGTCCAGCAATACACAATGGAGTTTTCCATTCAGTATCTTAAGCACAAAAATAGGCTATGTTTACAGTAGTTAAGGCGATCAAATTTTAAACAAAAGCAGAGAGAAAAAAAAAAAGAAAAAAAAAAAAGGAAAAAACAGCAAACGTTTTCCATGCTACTCCCATAGACCTTATTTGTAAGTGCAAGACAGGAAAACAAACACTGTGCAAAATGCTTTTGACCTGCGTGTTGGTCATTAAAACCACACGTCAGGCTGCAGTCTCTGCTGCTTGGATACGCATAGTCCTTCCCCGGCCCCCCCGGCCCCCCCTGTCACTCAGGCCTGCCCAGGCCTTTCAGCCTGGGGCTTTTTTTTTGCCTTTTTTTTTTTTTTTTTTTTCAGTCCACAGCCTCTTTTCAACGCGGGGAAAAAAAAAAAAAAGAAGGACCTATTGTGGTGGAGTGGTGCAGCAGGAATCCTACAAATGCTCATCTGGGGAAATGGACGCACCTCAGTTGGAGCTGGCGTGGGGTCTGTGCAATTAGAAGGGGTCTGGGGTTAGTAAATGCACACCGCACATGCAAATCTCGAAGCCTGGTTGTAAACATTCAATTTTTTTTTCCTTGTGAACATAGCTAAATCGGCGACTCGTAGCTTAAGTTCTTCTCAACTTAAAGACAGTGGGAAAATAAATTTAAATTAGATAAAATAAAAACAGTGCATTTCTCTTCTTCGTAACACCGGCATTTTCAACGGTGTCGGGTTTTTTCCTAAGGAAATTAAATAATTTTCAACTCACTCGTTAAAGTTATACAATGCAAACAAAGACAAAAATATACTGAAAATCATGCATTTCTGTAGCGTTAATATTTACTTTTCAAGACTCAACTAAGAGCATCAACACAACCTGCCAAGTTCTTTGATACCTCCCCCCGGCCCATGTAATCAATTACAGTATACAATAACAGTAATTCACATTTTTTAAACACACAGTTCATCACTGCTGAAGCTGCAATATCCTTTTTCATCCCAAGCAAACCTTCACGTAAGACAGAGTCCCAGTGATCCCAGTGTACTCTCAGGGTTTTTGTTTTATGTTTTTTGTGTTGGTTTTTTTTGTGGTTTTTTTTTTTTCCAGTGGGAACTGTCAGAAATCCAGAAGTTGCCATAATAAGTTTTAAGTCAACCGCTTGTTTAAAAATAGATAATCCAGCATTTCAGAAATTTTCCATTTGGGTCTAAAAGCATTCAGGTTTCCAACAGCTAGAAAGGACTCATGCAATTATAGAAATGTAAAGGAACTGACAAAATTGAGAGAGGATTTCTACATTCAGATTTTAAGAGGGAAAAAGATCAAGAGCTTAAAAGAACGCAGTGTTTTAGGGAGAATAAAGCCACATCCAAATTTTTTGAATTGGAGATTCCTTAGAAGTAAAGTATCCGCTGGCTTCTATTCCAAAAAGGGGGAAAAATACGCTTCGCAGTTAGTTACTTTGTCGGATTACCTCTACAGTTCATTTTTATCGGAGTGCTAAATTAGTGAAATATTCATGCTGCCTTAAAGTGCAAAAACAAGCTAATAGCCAAACTTTCAGTTCAAGGAAACAAGATTGCTTTTAGACTGTACCACAACTATATAGATTTATATATATATTATTTATATATATAAAAATTTTATTTCCAAAGTTCTTGTGAGCTATCTTCTAAGGTCCAGTCTCTGACAGTAGGTAAGCTCAGTGCTTCACTTTTGACAGACAATGAGTTCACCAACTCACAGTGAAACTTCCGAATGTGTCTGTAAAGGTCTCCAGACTGTGTGAACCTGCGTTCACACCACTTACAAGCATGAGGCTTCTCCCGCGTGTGAACCACTGCGTGGCGGCTCAGGTTGTGGGAGTACTGGAAGCTCTTTCCACACTGGGTGCAAGTGTAGGGCTTTTCACCTGAATGAGTCCTCTCATGACGTTTCAAGGTGTACATGCAAGAAAAAGTCTTACCACACAACGAGCAGGTTGGGACATTGACATCGGTAGCAGGCTTGCTGCGGATCCCGTCCTGCTCTCGAAAGTGCGTGCTTAAATGAATTTGCAGGATGTGGGGGCTAGGAAAGACCTTGTTGCAGAGAGGACACATGAAAATTTGGCCAGCGGGGCTAAGTATGTTTGACACATAAGGGAGCAAGCTGCTGTCCATGTTTCCTTCCACCTGGACTCTCTCATTCTCTGGAGTTATCATTTCATCATCGCTTGCCTTGTCCTCTCTATCTAGCTCCCTCAAGACCGAATCTTCCCTCATTGGAGCCAGGTGGGCCGGCTCGTACTGTACCCTGTTATTAGTGCTCACACTTTCTTTCACAGTGCTATGTTCCATATCATAGTCATTAGTGCCAACATCACTCTCATCACAGGAAGCCTCTTTCTCCACCTTCACCTGAACCAGGCTGCTTCTAAGCATGTCCTGTGAAGAGAAATAAGAACTGTTCAAATTTTCAACTCCTGAAAGGCTGGACTTGACAGACAGGTCCAGCACGCAGTCAACATCTGCTGAATCCCTCACGGAGGTGACAGACCTCTGGGACAAAGACTCTGTTGAGCTGCAGGGGCTGGCTACTGTTTTTCCAGCTGCTGCTGTGTGCGTCTCTGCCTCTCCGCCAGTCTGGGGAATGCCTGCTGAGTCTGAGGGCAATCTCATCCACATGTTCCCAGGCTCAGCCGCCAAGTCCCTTTTGCTAGGCAGGATGTTCAATTTTTCATCTTCTCCGTCGTCTTCATCGCTGGGCAAGTCTCCTGGCATGTGGCTGCTGCCGTCGGAGAGGCTCTCCACTTTGTCTGAACAACTTGAGGCATCTTCCTCCTTTTTTGTACTGTCTGCCTCCGTGGTTGCTTTCTCTTTCAGCTTCTTTTTGCAGACTTTGACAATGTCATACATGTGGAGATAACTGGCAGCTGCTAGCACGTCTTCAATGGGCAAGTCTTTGAACTGGAGCTTTCCTTCGTACATGAATTCAAGCAGGAGAGCGAAAGCTGGGGCTGTAACAATGTCGCTGTTCAGATGAACAATGTCCCTTTTGTCCAGCTGGTCCTTGTAAAAGAGGTGGAAATACATGCTGCATGAAGCCAGAACAGCTCTGTGCGCTCGGAACTGGGCATCTCCTACCAGAACAGTGCAATCACAAAGAAAACCCTGATGTCTCTGCTCACTCAGACACTGCAGCAAATGTCTACTGTGGTCAGGAAACTCCATACTGTCTTCATAACCTATAAGCAACAAGATTTTTAAAAATTAAATGTAGGTTGGAATCACAGAACTTACGAATCCAAGTAATTCCACTCTAAAATCCCGTATTTATATTGCCGAAATTCTGGTACTGACACCACGCGAAGATTACTTAACACGCATGTACGATGGCAACTCTTTCCCCGACTTACCACCACAGCTATGATTTCCCTTCTGTGGTAAATAAGCCAGTCTAATAAGCGCAAAGGTACATCTGTAATTTTTTTAAAGTATCACTGCTGTTCATAAAATCTGTTCAACAGTTTTGTGGGGTTTTTTTAGGGAACTTCTTCCAGATTGCATCCCTAGGAGGGCAGACCCAAAAAAATTTTTTTTTTTTAACACTAAGTTTGAGAGATCACAGAAGCGGAAGAAAAAAAAATCAGATAATCTACCTTCTTTTTAAAGTCAAACTGTAGTAAGAGGAGAGGTTCATACATGAAGAAATGCTAATATACCCAAATCTGATGGTCTAACATTCATAAGCTAGAAAAATTATTTACATGTGTCAACTTATATCAACAGCAAAAATAAAAGTTTTTAGAAATTTAGTTTGCATGGTTTTCTTCTTGTAGTAAGTACAGGTTTTTTTAAGGTTTTAGACCTTTTCCATACTGTACAACATAACATGAACATTTTTGCCAACATGCAGAATACACAAAAGAAAGCTAACAACCAAAACGCCAACGAACACCACTTTCCCTGTGCAGAAGGACAGAAATTTCCCTCCCCTCCCACACCAGGCAGTTCGCAGTACCAAGCTCAAAGAAAAAAAAAAAAAGTCATTCAACGTGAGCGTATGTGCATGTGTACAGGTCTAAAATCAGTATCCCAAGTACTATTCTTACCCAAGTGTCTTTCTATTTGCCTTCCTTGATGATAAAGAAAAATTAAACTTAAAAAAGAAGTAGAGAAGTCAAAATTCAAAAGAAAAGTAAAATCTCTTAAAAACCTGTCTTAATCTATTCTTCTGTGATTGATAGCAATGGTCTCCCAAATCATCTAAGCAGATCGTGACTCTTAGGCTGGCAGATATTACTGAAAAACCCCCATCCCTCACAAACCAAGATGTACTAAAACTTACAACACAACCCCTACTATATTCTGTAAAATACCATTGCTAGAGTAAAGCACGAAGATTTACAATACAATCACTTTAAGTGCCCCACAGCCAACATCAATCCTAATCCTTAAGAGGGCTAAAAATAAAGATTGGAGGGCAGCTCACAAGGTAGCTGTGATCAAATTAGGAGGCTGAAAGGACAGAGAGGGACGAAGAAGGAAGCTTATAAACATCTGATCCAGCTGACTGTGGCCATATGGCAGCTGCTGCCCAGATAAAGAGATTAAGAATAGAGGAGTGCGATTACAGCTGTCTGGCCAATTCAGGCAGCTCAAATCTACAAGTTCTAAATTAGTCGCAAATACAAAAACTCCTTCAAATAATTATTGTTACGCTAAATAAAAGATTTCAAATGCTACATGCAAGAAAGAAAAGAGGAAACCAGTCAAGCCATTCTCCCGGGTACAAAAGTTTTTAAACACATAACTGATTTCTTATCTTTCAGAAGCACTACAGCTGTATGCTACTATGTTTCTGAGCTGCTGGATATTTAACCGTGAAGTTTAATGAAAGACTTGCCCACAAACAGATTTTAGCCAGAACGGTCCTTTTGTAAAAAAGCACACTTTTGTATATTTCACTAAAACTCCCGCAAAGTCATCTAAAAGATGCAAGACAAGAACATAAAGCAGAACTCTCTTTAGTCTTGCCACTAAATCCACTGCAGTTTTGGTCTCAGAAATGAAGAATGAACTTGCTCTCTTCTCCTTCTTCCAAACCAAGACATTCTCACAATATGTATTAAAGTTAATGCTAACAATGTGCCCAAGAACTGATACTATGCAACTGTAGCCCAAGCCTTTTGACTAAGTCCACTTATCTATTTAACACTCAATTTCATATATTACCTCTAAACTTGGTTAGAAAAGTAATGTGATTTTTTTTCTGAAATTCAATAAACAACACACCAAAACAGAAATATGCTGTATCTAATCTATTGCTACTCCTACCTTTAGTACACATAAACCTGATTAAGTCCTTTCCTCTGAGTCTTGCTGGCTCCAGGTCTGTTAGATCGGTGGAAAAAAAGCAGACTAGGAGAGACAGATGCAAAGTGGAGATGATGTTAGAGAGGAATGAGATACCTTCTCCACACACAGATCTGCACACACTAACTCCCTGTCTGTGTGTTAGAATAAAAGGCTGAGGGATGGCAGGCTGTCAGCTGCTCTGACATCATGTTCAGATGGAAATGCTACCTCCAGCTGTGCTCCTTTTAATGCCATATGCTACTCCTCTACACTCCTGCCACCAGCTTTTTCTTAGGAGAACTTTTCTCTTCTGTTAGTATAAACAAAATACTTCAAAGTCTCTTTTTTTCAAACTTTCTAACAGGGAGGAAAAAAAAAAAAGAAAATCCTAAACATATGGGGCTCTGCTGTATGTGCAGCATAGCAACACTTCTGCCATAAGTTGAAGGACCGCTTTATGTGCTGACAGCGTACCCCAGCCACGGGGTTACCCCAGAAATCCACACCGGCTCGGTTTTACTGAGTCCTGGGGTTACAAGCAGAAATTAACCGGACCCATTTATCACCTCACGGCTCCCCGCTTCGCAGCCGGTCCTTGCGGTTCCAGCGTTTAAGACAGCGCAAGTGACACCGAGCACCAACTCGGGCTCCTTCGGAGCCGCGGAGCAGCTCCCCCGGCCGGGGCTCTACTGCGAGCGCTCGGCTCGGCTCCCGCACCGCTCTCACCCCTCGGGGGCCGGGGCTGGCCATCTCTGTGACCGCAGCGGCCCCGGGACGCGGGTCCCCGGCCCCGCAGGCTGCGAGTGGCCACCCCGCCCGAGCGGGAGCCCCGAGCCCCGCCGGCCCCCCCTGTGACACTCACGCGTGTCCCAAGGGGGGCGGGCCAGCTGCCCGCTGCCGGGCAGGGACAGCCCGGCGCCCCCCGGGACGGGACG